GATGCATTTACTTTGCTACCAGAGTAAATATAAACAGGCTATTGAAGGTTTCGAGTGTTCACGGTACGTATATTTATTTCAACTAATATTTGGTTTTAATCATAGATTATCACTCGTATCACTTCATTCATTACTATTGTTTTTAACTCATTAAATTGTATGATGTTTCATTTATTGGCGTATATAATAGTCCGAACCCACGAAGGCTTATAATTACGCAGCTAACATAGTATCAAATAACGGGGGAACATGTCCATTTTCGTCTGCAAAATATTTTTATCCGCTTCGTGCATCTAAATGAATAATAGCATGCAGCTGACCCCTTTTTTTCTTGCTAATAGTGAGCTTAGTACATCTTTTAGAAAAATAGTTATAAATGAGCCTGAATTATGTATGCTCATAGCCTGGATCGACATAATTAGACACCCTCTCCTAACTACAAATACTGTTTCCTACATAGACAAGGCGGCGATAAAAATCGCTTCTTCTCGAACCAAAGATATTAAAGTACAAAATTCTAAATAGGGTAGTTCTTTCAAGTAGTATTTATGGGCAATACGGGTGATATCCTCTACGATTCCAAAAAGCTATTGCGAAAAAGGTTGACTTAAATTTATAAAGCTGCCGCTCTATGTAACACTTGCATCCATGATAATTCATGGTGGTGTCCAGCTTACCTGGATTGCGGAATTGTGTGGAGTACTGGCTTCCTGCACTCCATACGCCTCTTCTCTGGTAATGGTCTTCCCGGCTCCCCATAACTCCCAAAACTCCATTCCTGGAAATCAAAAAGGCACGACAGGAAGTGTGGATGCAATTAAAAACTCCCCTTATTTGCCGTCGCACCACACGGGACCAAGAAAAATCTTATTTCCTTAACCCGGGGCTTGTGTATTCCAAACCTTGGGTCAGAAGGCTAACTCTTGACTTACCGAAGCCCTGGGGTTGGTAAAAAAAAGTATGGCACTGGGAAGTGAAAAGAGGTGCTGCTCCGCGGCCGGGTCGGTATCACCCACCTTACTGATTCTGCAACTGCGCGCGGAGACGCGCTTGGGTCATCATCCTTTTTTGTTTTTCCTCACATGGGGTTTGGATCTTTGGTTAATGAACGTCTCGAGACCATGATACTAGACTCCTATCTATCTCAAGAAGCTATTTGGATAACTATAATTGGACGAACGCATCGAGATCTGATCTCAGCCAAGCCTTCACAATCGATCACTCGCCGTCTCTCCATTTTGCTATTAACAACGATAAATCGACTACCTAGTATTTAGACTTGAACATCAAAGACAACTAATAATCATAAATCACATGATGGCCTGCATTTCTGCATAATTTCTGGGCCCCACTCAAAGTGAATCGGGTTTCATGATACTCTAATGAAGGTGAGTAGATTTTGGGCCTCCTTGTTCGATTTTGGTGCCAAATCGAACAACTTAAGCCCTTCAACAGCTTTCCTCATATACTTACTGTAGTATGTCCTGGCGGTATGATCTATCAAGTTTATTCACAAGGGTTAGCCTACTCCATTCTCCTGCAGGATTTCATGCCCAATTTTTTTTGGGGGGGAGTTTCCCACTCCCCCGGCACTTGGGAATAGTTATGGAATGTGGGGATCAGAGTTATCTTTATTTTTTTCTTTCTCCCCCGTCTCCTTTGTCTCTTAGAGCTCTTGGAGGGAAAGAAGTGATGGATCATCTACCCGATGTAGTAGCTGTACACGAGTCGTTCCCCAAGTCGTTGAAAAGTGCGGAGAAAACAGAAAACTGACAAGAGCTTGATGGGTTACACGAGGCAACAATAGTAAGCTTCCCCTCTCAGCCCTCCGCATTTGAACGCTACAGTACCACCACGAATAAGAATAGAGGAAAAGCTCAATAACCACAATGTATAGTACCTACTTGGGGCTGTAGCCTCCTGTAAACCATTGGACCAAAGTACATATGTGTAGGTAGTATTTCTCTTCTCCCTATCTGAAATCGGAGCTCAACAAAAATAAAATCGGGGGTGAACGTACTTCCTTACACCAACCGCTTCATAGATATAGACGGGTTCGATATGGATTCTTCAACAGTTTCCCCACCCCAGCTAACCCAAGCAGGGCTTAGTGCTTGACCTTGTGAAACATCACCATTGAGGGCAGCTTCAGAGTTCGTTTCGGAGGAATAATCGTCTAGATGTTCTGTTGCGTTGTTCTGTTTAAATTACGTTACACGCTCGCTGACTCTCCCCCTCATGTCCTGCTGGCATGGATGGATGCGCAGGGCGGAAGTTTACAAAATAAACGAAATGACTTCCTGTTTGGCACTGTTGCATACGTCGTGGTACTCCAAGTATCATAGTCTACCTATAAGTGCATATACCTACATGTAGTTCCACTCGGGGTGTGAGGAGAGTCGGTGGTAATGTTTTACACCAATCAACAACCTCGGGTTGTCTTTGGCGTTTTGAATCCACAAAAGCCCAGTTTATATGGTTCTTGTTGAGCTTTCTTGCTTTATTTCCCATTGTTTTTAATTTTCTGAACAGGCGGGGATAAATACCGGTATGGACACTTAGGATGAGTGCAAACAAAAAACCCATCTAACCTCAATTGATCAATAGAAACTGCCGTGCCATGCCGTTGCAGCGGAGGTGTGAGACATCGCGGTACGGTAATATACGTCATTGGATGGAGAGGGATGAAATGGATTTGATGACTGGGGTTGAGAGGTGAGGGGGGTGGAGAAAAAGGTTGGATGGATGTGCTGAACCCAACAGCATGGGTTGTGCGATGTCCCGCTGCAGTAGTAGCAGTGCAGTGTGGTGGCACGGGAACGAACCGCACTGGATGCGAAGAGCGGCGACTGAGATGATGAAGTGTTTCTGATGGGTGAAGAGTGGGGCTGTCATGGTTGACGGTTATGGTCGTGTTTGCGATGGACGATAAACAGACAGATAGCCAGCTTGAGAGGAGGACGAACATACATTCTGCATGGCGGTGGTGGAATTGTTTTGGGGGTACGGTGCTTTACAGAGTACATATCCCAGGGTGTTTCTGTCGTTCTTCCAGGCATCAAGCATCCACGCCTATCCACGCCCACCCATCCAGGTCCCTGGATGCATAATTGTTCAGGGTATATATACCATAACAGCCGCCCACTTCTTCGCTGATCGTACGTATGGACGAACGAACGAAACAAACGTGCGGTGGGGGGCAAATGCGAAGTTGCACCTCGAATGTTTCACGGTTTCTTTGCATTTGAATTTTTTTTGCCTTACTGCCTTCGACCAAGACTGGGGCCGGGGAAAAGGTGGAAATGAAAGATTACTCTACAGATACACAAATACTTGTCTGTGTGTGACGTCTGGATCACAAGGGTTGCATATATCACAGAGCTCTCGACGACATGGCTTATAATAACGTACATTCCAAACAACACACCTAGATGGTCAATACCTCGGAACAGAGAAAGACACAAAGGATGGATGGGCTGATCGACTGCCTTGGACTTGCATTACGTGCCCGGGGGTCATCGCCAGGTGAAGGGCGAAGTAAGAAATATGCAGAAAGAGAAAAGGATGCAGGGTCTTTCTTTTCAATGCCCATCTTTCTTCCTACCTGTCATCGAGCTCGAGGGAAATAACAGATAGGTATATGCTTTGGAGCTGTGGTCCCAGTCTTTTTTTTACTGTGCAAAAAGTATACTACTGCACATACGATACCTACCAAAGATTTCTATGCAGTGCGAGTAGCCGTCCGTATTCCGTGGCTTGTTTTGACTCTGTGCTAGGTATAAAAAAAACAACCGGAGGTTGTTAATCTTCAGTTTATGGGTCGGTCGGAATATTCCACATGAATATTTCTGGTTGTGCGTTTTTTCCTACCCCAGCTTTGTCCGTCAGTGGTTCTGGTTTTGTAGGTCCCCTGGCAGGTACATACATACATAGAGTACATACATGACACGCAGCTTGCTAAGTAATTGATTTTCTGTCTGATTGTCTGATTGACTGATTGACTGATCACTGATTGTGAGCGTGGCCATGGCGCAAGAGTAAAAATGTTTTCATAATTGCAAGTAGAATATGCAAAAGCAAGGAAGGAAAAAAAGTTCAATCAATCAGTGCCTGGAAGATATCGGACGATGGTGGTACCAGGTAGGTAGGTAGCTAGTACGTGTACTGACATACAGCATACAGCATACAGGAATTTGTTTTTCTCCCTTTAATGGCCGGGGGGAAGGCTGAAGAATCACCAGTAGCTGGCTGAAGAGGAAGATGAATAACTAGAAGATGAAGAGGTCAAAAGAGAAGAGCATGCAGGTAGCCAGGTAGGCAAGCGTGCAGTTGCAGTAGCTACAGTCTCAATTGTTATCTTTATATCACTTCCCCCCATCTTAATAGGGAAGTGATCCGCGGCAACCGCACGGGAGAAAAAAGAAACACCACTTGTAAGAAAACGGTGCTGTTTAAGGTGTAGAGTATGTTTCTGAGACTCTTTCTTTTTTGGATACACACTTGATTGTGGATTCCATTGTTTGTCGCACCCCCCGATCTTTCTCTAAGAGGACGACGGCGATATTGCACATCCGATCACACACTTCTGCAATTCTATACCCCCACCATCACAACACAGCAGCAGCACAGGGAATTGACAGGAAGAGGAAAGAGAGACACAGACAGACAGCTAGCAGGAACTAGGACAGGATACGGCCAGAGATTACTTACACAGTGTTTGACAGCAGCAGGCAGCATACATCTATAATCAATCTCCCGTCTGTGTCGGTGAGCACAACGGAACCTCACTCATTCACACATACTACACTACATACCTCACCTCAGCTACCTATCTCTAGCAGTCACTTTTGCTGATAGGGAATACACTCTTTGCATCTACATCTACGAAGCATTACCGTCCATTCCCCAAAAGCCTCTCCACCACGACTACTAGTGTTGTCATCACTGCTATCACCACCACCCCACCGCCCCGCCACATCACAATCACCACTCGACGACCGATGGACAGCAGAGAGTCTCAACACCATACGGAGATGGAGCTCCCCTCATCTCCAATCTCCCGCCTCCCGCCAGAGCTCCTCTTTCGCATCCTCACATTCGTTGGCCTCGCCGGCGGCCCCGATTCCCTCCGCTCCTGTAACCTTACCTGCAAGGGCTTCCACGACATAATCGAGGACCCCACCCTCGACAAATACATCTACCGCGCCGCAGCATTCTTCTTGCTCTCCCACGACACCCGACTTTTCCCAGACCCCAACCTATCCGGAACCCGTGTGCCTCCTTCACCCACCACAAAGCGACAAACATTCAAGGCGTTCGCCAGAACTTTGCACCTCTCCCGCCGAGAATTTCCCGCCGAGTTGCACCATCCCTCAACCACCAGTATCCCAGACGCAAATTGTCCAACCACGCGATATGGGCCCAGTTATGTCGCACGTGACTGGCATGTCCAAGACAACTTCCGAACCCTGGCCTCGCACAAGAACGAGAAATACGCCGCCGCACAGCTGCCCCCTCTATCAGTAGACCCCAAGGGGCGCACGGTCAGCCGTATCATCGACTTTGTACACTCGTCCACCGAAGCCGCACGCACTGAGGAGGGCGTCGCCTATGTGGGCGTCAAGACATGCGGCTGGGGAGATGCCCAACCACCGGGAAAGACATCGTCGAAACAGGGCGAAACATCAAGCTGGATTCTCTTCTCAGACGACCCCCGTGTGTTCCCCGAGAAGCGCGATCGCGGCTGGATCACAGTCCAGCGTGCTGCAATCCTCGGCGGTGCACCCTCGGCATCGCCGTCCAATGTGCCGTTGGGTCAGAGACTGCAGCAGCAGCATCAAGAGAAGGTGGAGGCGTTGGCCGGCAAGTATAAAAACTTGAAACATGATGACCAATCGACGCCGCATGGGATACTACCGCCGCATGGGATACTGCCACCACCAAGCGCTAGAGATATCGCAGAGGCCGAGAAGGCATGGAGTCCCTTTATCAAGCCAGTGGACCACGATAAATTTATGAATGCGCAACGTTGGGGTACCGTCAGCCGCGGTGTCAATGCGAGCACATACAAGGCACTTCCGAGGAAGAAATCGTCGGCAACACCGCCGCCGCAGCTCGATGGAGATTGGTTCACGGTGGATAAAGCATTGTGGACCATGAAACATGTATCTGATCTCGGACTTGTGAACTTTGCAAAGTCGCTCCTCCACTCTGACGCAAACCTACGGCTTGTGCCTCGACTCGTGCAGAAGCAATTGGAGGTTGCAGCGGTGGAGCGGCTTTGTATGGAGAACGCAGATGGCGAAGTAGAGGTTAATATGGCATGGAAGATGCCCCGCTCCATAAAGGAGCTGAGCCTGGAAGCTCCGCTGGAACGGGATGCCGAGCAGGAGTGGGATGAGGAGCATAATGAAGTCACCTGGGAGTTCAAGAGCTGCGGTAAACACCTCGTTATCTGTGACGACAACAGCTGTCGTCGCGCCAGTACAGTCAACTGCTTTACAGGAAGCGTCCCGACTAGCGCCGAAGAGGATCTGAATCAGAACCACAGATCCATGTGCTCCGACAACAGCCTCCGTTGGCAGCGCAGGATGGTGGTGAAGGGGAACGACGGAAGAAGCGGCGAATACTGGCTCGATAACGATGGTATCTCCATGAACTCTACTGTGGTTGCGTACTCTACCCGTCGTCATGTCATTCCACTTGTTGGGCGTCCGGACCGTTACTCTTACAAAGCTGTCATGGAATTCCACATCCTCTCCGTGCAGACCGGCGACACAATCAAGATCCTCAACCTTGCAGAGGAAGAACGGGACATTGTTGACCGCTGCTATATGTGGTGTTCCTTCGCAATCGGTGACGGAGTTCTCGTAGCATCTCTTGGCGGGCTTGGCCCAACAGTTCGTAGAGATGACGATGATGGCATGTGGGCCGGTATCGGTAGAAGGAAGAAATACGGTTATGAGAACCTTTTTGTATGGGACTTGGGCGATGAGTCCAGCCTCGATGACCCCCCACAAGTGGGCGTCTTCAAGGGCGAGACAGAAGCAGAGGCCAATGCGCTTCTTGTATCCCCAAGAAGCAGAATTCCAACACCACAGGGATGGGGAGAACTGGATAAATACATTACCATCAGCGGATGTGGAAGATACCTGGGTGTTTGCGCCGAGTGGAAAATGGGTATCTGGGACATGGAGCAAAAGACATTCGAGGGTCTCTGGAGAGTCGGCGATGCTGGTACGTCCCTACTATACTATCCCCATTCCCCTCTACTACCTCCCTCGCCTCCATACTAACATATAGCCCGCATATAGACCATCTTGAAGTGGACTCCATCAACATTATCCACGAACGCGACGACTACAATCGCCGCGACGACGAATGTCTCGCTTGGAATGGGCTCTGGATCAAATGGCGCGATGTCATTGACGCCCCAGACTCGTCCTCCTCCGAGCCCGAGGTCATCAACCAGGACGTCACATTCATCAATTCGCGAGACCTGCGCCGCGCCATTGGCGGTGTGGATCTCGAGATGGACCGGCGCCGCAGCTGGATGAACGGACACCGCATCAATCAGACCATTGAGTATGATCCCGACGCTTCCGAGAGCGATAGTGAAAGTGTGGGGAGTGCGTTGATGGAGTGGGAGAGTGGCACAATGGGTGTGTGGGAGGATGCGGAGGAGGGGTATGCGATGATGGCGGCGGGGGAGGAGACGGAAGGGGAGGAGATGGAGGGTGAGAGTGATGCCGATATTGGTTATATGGGCACGGGGACGGGGATATGGTCGTAGCTGGTCGAGTGGTTGTAAAAAAAAGAAGGGAGAAAACCGATCGAGAGTATATACGGCTGGCTCACTTACTGAGAAGCCCATATACACTCCAATAATGACAATAGGTAGGGGGTATGAGGAGGGAAGGGGGAGGGGGAGGGACCGACCTTGAGGGGACTGTACTACTACCATGTACCTTTTCATTTAGGATCATATTTTCTTTTTTTTTCTTTCTGTACATCTAATGTAATTAACACCATCGTCGCTTTCCATCATCTCTGGTCACATAAAAACGAAAAACACCCTCCCAGTAGCTGCGTAAATAGAAATCAAGCTCTCTCCCAACGATTTGTGCTGGGTTCGGTTCGAGCCCCCGGATACGTGTGTTGTAATTACATAAGTTCGCCAGCTCATCTCCAACTCACGAATGAGCGTTTCTATCGATATCAGCCAATCAAACATTAGCCGGGGAATCCTGGGATTCAGGCGAGTGATGGATGGTGATTCCTGTGGTTGTGGGTGGGGTTAGGGGTTTGTTTGGGGGCGCCAACCGTTTCGGCTTACCTGTACTTTAAGTGCCTGGTGTAGCTTCTAGCCAGATTTCTCTGCAGTTACCTTAGCTATCTCCATCTTCGAACATTATCCCATGATCCCACTACCAAACATCCACTACCATCCTAGACACCGCTGGAGTTGCTATTCATCGGAGCCTGTAGTAGAACTTCTCACACAGCACAGGTGTACCTAGTAATAGGAGGTGAAGTACAAGCACATCCCCCGATCATCCAACGACGAATCGATACCGATACCAAAAGCTGACTATATCATTCCAGGGGCTGCAGTCTTTCCCCTTTTCACCCCAACCCTCTCCCACGGTGCTAGAGTCCCGAGAGCGAGGAAGCGGCCCGGGGAGTCACATACAGAGAAACCAGCTATATGCTCGAATCACAGCCTATCACTCGGGACCGTGGCAGAGCAGCTCCTAGCTGGCACCCTTCTAGCCCCCTTCTTGAGTTTTCTCTAGTTTGCCGTTTTTGCAGGCTGGCGCTTCTTGAAATTGTTGGGTGTCGGCTGTAGGCCGCGGACTTGGTGGCTGCGGGATAAGGCATGGCCTGGCGGTTTTTTGTTTGTTTGTTTGTTTGTTTGTTTGTTTGTTTAATTCATGCCTGGCGGGGGTGGTTGGTATGATTGGTATGGTTACTGGCTAGCTTATATCGCTGGTATCGGTTAGTCCGCTACTATAACGTGAGACCAGTGGTGTTTCTCCCCACTCAACATTTGAGATTCTTCAGCTAATAGCAGGAGTTTCGCATAGCCTGGAAGCGTTTCCAGGTGAAAGGAGTGGAGAGGTCCAATTGGCTACGTTAGCCAGAGAAGAAGACTCCTGCCGACGAAAGCATACAGATGGGCAGAGCCAGCGAAAGTTCGAGTAAACCAGTTGTAAAAAACGATATCTGGTCCCGAAGCGGCGGTATGGGGAAATCTCGCAGTAGCCTAGCTATTCGACAACGGGAGTTTACTTCCCGATGTGGTACCAAAGTCTCAGACCGCGGGATGAGATGGCGTGCGGAGTGCGGGAACTCGGTTACGGACGGGTAGGGTACAGACTTTAAGTTTCGCCAGAGTACGGACCGAGTGATATCTCATGCTTAAAATACCACAACCACGTATCAGCTTCCGAGAGCAAGTTAAAGAGAGATACCCATCTATGAAGACCGCGTTTAACTATTGATACCTACCATATTTGGAATGAATAAGCTGAAAGCAAAACCAAACTCGGGAATGTTGGGCTCGCAGTTCGAGTGATCTCTCATGACGATTTTGCCGGCTGAAGGTATTAATACTGCCGGGACTAGGTTTAGAGGTTCGACTGGGCTTATAAAATATTACTAGATCTGTAAACTATCTGGCATTCTCTGATATTGGATCTTGATATACAGCTAACTTCAGTGAAGGTACGATATTTCTGCCTGAGGGATGGCTAAGTACGTGTCCTGATGAGTGGCCATAATGCAACTTCCAAACACCTGGCCTGTCCTATCGAATTCAAAACCCAGAGCTCCCAAATATTTATCCCAATCGCCTCCAACTCACTATCCAAACATCTAGCTAGCTCCAGTCTCTCGGCTTCCCAGTGACATGGTAAATGAACGGAAACCTCTGATCTCTTCCTAAGGTAAAGCCCTCTCGTAAGGTCCGGGACTTTAAATCAGTGACCTGAAAGGTCTGGACTAAAATCAACAGGTAAGTGGACTAATATTCCTCCAAGTAACGCACGTTTCCGGTAGTTCCCCACCCTTATCGAGCATACAAGACACTAATAAGACTGAGCCACAGTGAATAATTCGGTGGATGCAGCTGAATCATGGCATGTTAGTTAATCTTGATTTACGGGACGCCAAATCTGCCGAAACAGAGTAATTGTCTGTGTTAAACCTTACCGGAGGGTATCCATCCACTGAAGTCGTGCACCAATCTAGTCCTTAAGAATTAGATTTATCGGTATATCCTATGCGTAACCCACAGCCGGCTTTAGAATTTCTCACGGCTAACTGGACCGACAAGATAGACCCACCCTCTTAGACAGATGGTCCTAATGTTACACCTGACTACCTAGGTCTTGTCTCGTCTCGTCTTATCCCAGGCCTGAAACTGCTGTCGTCGGCGAGCCCGCTCAAGACGATCGGAAGAAGATCTCGTTTCGGCTTGTAATCACAGCTACTCGATTCGACTCGACTCGACTCGACTCGACCTGTCAAAGCTCGAGCCTTCCAGTAGTCTCGCATAATCTCAAATATCATACCTGATCTACTTAATTTGGAACTATGAGAATTGGGGTTAAGGATGAATACCTTCCCGATATATATGACGCATAAGCTCTTAAATGACGAGAATATATACTCTAAAAAGATCGAGTCTTTCAAGTCGAGTAGTAGAAACTGCTCGTCGTGGCAGCTGCTCGTGACTACTCGAGTCGAGGACCCAAGCCAACTCGCCTCGTCAACCAAACCACCTAAAACCATCGAGACCTAGTTTAAGGTCTCGAGACTTGATTCTTGACGCAAACTAGACACAGCCTAGCCAGTACATGGTGATAATTTCTGGTGATACATGTCCCAGAGCCGGTACTACCATGACTGGAGAAATGGAGAAATTGTCTTCCTGTTACACTATGGGGACCACCTGCTGGGGAATTATAGGCGACATTTACTGTCGCTCGAGAGTCTCGAGACTGGATAAGATGGTCTCAAGAACTTCTGGTTGTGCGTGCAACATTAGGCGGATCCTCTGGCCGGGAAGTAGTGCTTTCAAGGCAACTGAAGCCGCCAAAGTTAGCATGGCTTCGAATCCCTGCTCACCAAATCACCACAACATCACCACCCCCGTGAGGGAGTACTGGTAAAGATCTAACGTTTTTGAACAGAATACTGTTGCATCTATGAACTTGGCGCGTTTCTGTATGGTATTCAATAGCGGTTAGTAGAGTAGCGTACTTAGTACCTACTCCTACCAGTCGGGCCAAGCCAGATCGCCGAATCATGAAACAGCACTCGCATATCACCTTCCGCTTGTCGGACTATTTTATATGGTGCCGTTATATATATATTGGATATTTGTAGGTACATTCACTCTCTCTATGCAGTTTCGCTAAAGAACCAATCCAATCTACTGTCTGTCCTAGGTACAGAAAGTGCCGCGATCAGTGGGATACAAGACGAGACGCGGAGCGGGGCTCGACGAAGCTGATATCCACGAATAACCACGGCCTAGTATCACCATAATCTATACTGCCAAGGCTTCTATCAGCGTATTACAATGGATACTAGACAAATCTTAAAGGCTCGCCTACACCGCAAAATAGCCGGCCGCGGGCGTACAAGACAGACCTTTCTTTGGTAACTACGGCTGATTTCAGCCAAGACGGGCCGGCCGCGATCTACGCACCAATAGATAGACAGCTACACACAGGTGTCCTCGGGTAGGTAGAGTAGGTGGGTAGGGTACCACCACCCAATGCCCGTGCTGCGGTGTGAAGCTTGATATATACCGCCATATATGTACCGACTCTGTTTAAATGAGAGATAATAATCCGTCGAGTCCAACCAACTGCAGCAGTATGAAGCTGATGGCACTAGTACTTGACACTCGGGGTGAGCGTTTTCATTACCCCACCCCCAGCGGCGGATATCCCGCATTTTCGTCTGGAATCAATCCTGCTGAAATACTCTACCTACATACCTACTTCTTTTAGTACTTACACCTAGGTAGGTGTACTTGGTAGTTTTTTTTCTTTCTCTTCCTCTCGAAAATTTTTTCTGCCCTTTGATCATGCACGATAATTACACGTACATGCATTATGCACTTTTCATTTAGAGTATGGTCCCCGCGCGCCCTATTAGAGTAGCATATGTGCACAGGCAGGGTCTTTATTTTTTTTTTTTTTTACAAGCGTTTTTCCTTTTTTTTATATTTTGCGGGGTGAAAGTGCATGGCGCGCGGGCTAGCCCATGGGGACCCCCGTACGTTTGACGGGTAGCACGCGACAGTTTGACACATGGAGGTCCCGCCATATCTACTTTACTCTATCCTCACGTACATGGAGTATATCTGTCGTCCGATGTGTAGATGATTATACTGTAACTTTATAACTTTCCAGACCGGACTGGAGACGTTATGGGATAGTAGACAGCGGGTTGCATGTAGGTACACCATGCATAAACAATATACTGCCATAAACATCGTTTGATCATCAAAATGAATTCCGTGATAAAGGTTTATGGTACAATTGTAGTTGTCAAGCTCATCTCGTCTCGTGTTTTTTTTTTTTTTTTTTTTTTTTCTTTCTTCTCTTCCACGCGGAACTCGTAATAGAAGGAAAGGAAAGGAAATTCATAACACGCACATACACTCCTAAGCATCGCGTCATCATCACAAACAAAGCATAATCAATCAATCACTCACTCAGTCCTGTTCTCAGTTTATTGACCATCTTAAGCCTCCCCAAGAACAAACAGACCACTACTGATGAAGAAACAAAAAAAACCCATCCCTATCCTTATCCTCATCCCCATCCCCAACCTCCCAGCCCCATAACACATAAAAAAGCGACCGTCACCAAACCAACAAGCACCACGTAAAAACAAAGTAGTTTTAAAAAAAAAAAAAAAAGGGGGGGGGGGGGGGGGGGGACAGAATGGATTAAAAAAAAAAAAAACCGAGAGTCACTGACGGCAAAGCTCAAGACGACGACAGAAACGAGAAACGAAAAAAAACAGCAGCAATCTGTCCATCTATAGAGCTAGTTGCGTGCGAGCCACGAGAGGAAAAAGGAAGAAGAAGAAGAAGGGGGAGAAAAAGCGGGACTATAATTTCTCCGTCGGCGCCGCCGGAGGAAGCACAGTTGACGGCTCGATGGGACCGCCGCCGGCGGCGGCGAGCGCTTTCTCCTCGCTTGCGATGCCCTCGCCGTAGAGTTCCTCGCAGAGCTGCTCTAGTGTTTTGCGTTTCTGCATCTTTGTTAGCCCCCCATCATTCGCCTATAGTAGATATCAAAAAAGGGAGGGGAGGGGAAGAGGGGGTAGTCTTACAGTCTCCGGAATCAGCAGCGTCGTAAAGATACCCGCAAACATAAACGCGGCAAAGATCTGCATGACATGGTTCAACCACGGACTGGCATTCTTCTCGGTGGCGCCCCTGGTCCTGAGCGGGCCGATGAGCACCTGCGCAATGATGGCGCCGACCTTTCCGCTGGCCGCCGAGATGCCGTGCGACGTGGACCTGTAGCGCGTCGGGAACACCTCGCCGGGGACCAAGAAGGTGGTGGCGTTCGGCCCAAAGTTGAAGAAGAACTGGCACAGCACGTACAGCGCCAGCAGGCCCGAGGACGAGATGCTGTGGAAGGCGAAGCCGAGCACGCAGAAGAGGATGGTGAGGATCACGAAGCCGCCGAGCTGGATGGGCTTGCGGCCGATGGTGTCGACCGTGAAGACCGTCACCCAGTAGCCCGGGATGGCGCCGGCGCACACGAGGATGAGGTTTCCGACGGCGTTGTTGTACAGCTTCTGGTACACGTTGTCCTTGGCGCTGTAGCCGATCTCGGCGAGGATGATGGACGTGTTGAGACCGAGGCCGTAGAAGGCCACGTCGAGGAGGAACCAAGAGCCCGCAGTCCCGAGGAGGATCTTGCCGAACTGCCACTGGCCGTAGTGGCGGCAGAAGTCGGCCCATGAGGCCTTGGGCACCTCGAGCTGCGCGCGCGCCTGCATGGTCTCGACGCGGCGGATCTCGTCGACGTCGCCGGAGGGCTTGCCGCCAAGGTATGCGCTGACGTCGGCGTCGGCCTGCTCGACGTCGCGCGCGACGTCGAAGGTGTAGCGCGGCGTCTCGGGGATGGTCAGGCGGTAGTAGAGCGCGATGCAGCCGGGGACGGCGCCGAAGCCGATGATGATGCGCCACATGCGGTCGACGGCGGTCTTGCAGGCGTCGCCGCACTCGCTGGGGTGGTTGGCGGTGATGGTCTGCGACTTGAAGGCGACGGTCACGATGAGTGCCATGAGGGCTGCGCCGAGCTGGCCGATGCCCTGCATGGCGAAGACGGCGCCCATCATGGCGCCGCGCCATTTCGTGGTTGCGAATCTGCGGGGGGGGGAAGGGGGGTTGTGTGTTAGCTGACAACTCCTTGGGTGGTTGTGGTTGTTGCGCTGCGCTGCGCTAGCAGGCAGGCAGGTGGTAATGATCAGTGCAGCGGTAATTGACTTACTCAGCGGTGATAATCGACGACAGGGGGTAATCTCCTCCGATACCAATGCCCATGATGACACGCCAAAATACCAACAGGCCCACAATGTGCATGGAGTGCGACTCCGACGACAGTGCTTGTGCCAGCGTCGTCGCGATAATGATGATCAGCTCGAGCCCGTACATCTTCTTCCTGCCCACCACGTCGGCCAGCCACCCAAAGAGCAGCTGCCCGATGACGGTCCCGCCGGAGGTCGACACCTTGATGGCCGTGTCGGACGACTCGGGGATCTTGCCATTTTCCCAATAGACGAGCCCGAGCATGCCGGTGACCAGGTTGATGGCGAAAATCTACATTGCGGGCGTGTGTGAGCGTGGGTGGTGTTTTGGGGGGGGTGGCTGCAGAATATAGAGCAGAGAGCAGAGAGAGAGAGCGAGAGGTGGGGAAAAACATACATCGTAAGCATCAGTGAAGAAGCCAATGCCCGCCACAACTACCGCGCGCACATGGTACCACCCAAACGGGGCCTTATCGATCTCGGCGAGAGCCAAGCGCCTCCTCTCATTCGGGTCCTTTTTTTTGCATCAGCAACAAACATCCCATTCTGCACATCAGCTAGAAAGGTGCCAACAAAAAAAAAAAAAAAACAACTCACAGAGATATGAGCAAAGTCGTTATGGAAATTATGGAACGCCGCGTTCCCACCGACAGTCTTGTGGACGGCCACGGGGGCGGTCGCGATAGGTGCGCTAGAGGCCATATCGATCGCTTTGCAATAATTGCTGAACTCTCAAGTTCTCAGTTGTTGGATTTTTCTTCTTAGCTAGCTAGCTGCTGTGCCACGGATTGAAATTAGCCTCTCTATTCGCTCTAGATCTCTCTCTCCTCTCGCTCTCGCTCTCGTGTAAACAGCAAAAAAAAGTGCCAATGCGCCCCCAATATTCGCCATGCCCATGCCATGCATCTCTCTCTCCCACGCCCACGCCCACGCCCACGCCCACGCCCACGGCGCGCAATCCCGCCAAAAGTCTTGTCATTCCCCCTCCATCATTTCCACCCCATGAATCCCACGCCTCTGGCACCGGACGCGGGAGGGCAAATTGCGTGCTTGCAGGGCAGGGCAGGACAGGACAGCAAGGTAGGATGAGGGCCTCCACAAACCTCTCTCTTGTCGTTTCTTGGTATCTTGGTATTGCTTTTCGAATTCCTCTGCAGGCACAATCACACACAGCAATTAGCCCCACGAACCGTAGAGTAGAGTAGATATAGGTAGTAGTAGGGCCATGGCATCCGCACGCACGCACGCCTCACAGCGCGGGCCAAGCAAAAAAGGCCATAGAGAGAACTAGAACAACAACCAAGAGATGTAATATAGGGCAACTCACGGGAAGACCGTTCAATCTATCTCGAGAGCCTATCAACCACGCACGTTTTCCTTTCCCTCGGGCAAGACCAGACCACAACAACAACAACAAGCAGTACGTAGCCAAAAAATAAAAAAAGGCCAAGTAAACCCTCAGCTCTTGGAAAAGTCTTGAGTGGGCTGCGGGGGGGGGGTGTGGTAGAAGGTGGGAGGAAGGAGGGTGCAGTCTATTTATCCATCCGCCGCCCGCTGCAGCATGTTACTTTAGAGAGAGAGAGAGAGAGAGACCCTCCAACTTCCCTCCCTCCCTCCCCCGAGGGATAGACAGACGGACGGTGGCCTACTGCAGATGCAGTGCTGCCCTGCCTGTTTGGGCGTTTGCCCGTATACGAACGTAACGTAACTCAACGTACCCAACCCCCCCACCACCCACCCACCACTCCCCCACTGGACCTCCGAACTCTAGTTACTTGGTCGTGCTCGTAACCTATATTTTTATTTTTATATATATATATATTTATTTTATTCTGTATGGGTGGTTGTGGTAGGGATACCTCGTACCCATGGGGATCTACAGCAGTAAGTGCCTACAACTTCCTACACCTCCAGTTTGAAGCTGACGACCCGGAGGTCGACGGAGTCCATGTTTCGACCCCCCCCAAAAGCTTCAAAGACCAATCGAAGCAAAGAAGTGACCGACCCTTAACCTAGCTGGCCCACCGTTTGATTTGGCCTTTTTTGTTTTTGTTTTTTGTCTTTTTTTGAAGCTACATGGATGGGGGTAAGATATTACATGCCTACCTCCATGGATCAAAGAAGGAGAGGATCTGATCTAGTAAGGAGGGAACTAGTAACGAGGGAGGTTGAACGCGAGACCAATGAGAGACATGGGATCGCCCACGAGGTCCCGGGGGTGCTCCGCACTTAACTCTGGCGACATTGCTTGGCGTGGCTTACCTCCCACTCTACTTTGCTCCATCCGATCTGATCTGGCGGCCCATGCTGCTGCTGCTGTGGCTTTGCAGTTTGCCCTGTCCTCATACATACATGTAGTAGCATTTTACTGCCTTTTGGATGTTTTTGCAGAGTCTTGGTAGCTAAGGCTTTTAGAAAGAAAAAAAAGTCTTGAGGTTTCTGGGCAGTAGAGATAAATATATATTTGTGTCCGCAAGACCTCATCTTCTTGTTGCTGAGAGAAAAATACCTCCGAAAGATTGATTCGAGATCACTGACATGTGTGGACTACTAGTATCATCGGCAGGTAATGATAATAACACTTTGATCGCGGCCGTCTCCGAGGACTTACCTACCTGCCTACCACAGGTACAGCTACATTTCGGACAAATAACTGTTTGCCAACCAGATCGATCCAGGCCTTTTCACACACATAACTACCAGGTCCCAAAGCCGTGGTTCCGGAGGCTTTTTACCTACTCTTCACTTCGCAAAACCGGTTCTCCATTGGACGAGAACGCATCCTAGACATAGTGTCATATCAGCTGCTGGCTGTGGACCCTCGATACAATTACATACCTCATAAAAACTAATATATCAAATCATAAATAATTATGAGCGGAAGGGGCCAAGGGCTCTTTCGGTAACGGCGGAAGTGCCAGGTCCTTATTTTCGCATTTGCAGATTTCAACCTACGACCTGCTGCATCTTACCTCCAAGATCTGCTGAGCCTCATCCGTCCAATCTTGCGACGCTCTATCGATTTTTCAATTCTCGTCTGATCGAGCGCATATCTTTCCGAGTCCACCTTCCCAGGCCCAGGCATTGATTGTTTCGTGGGCAATCTATCCAATCCATTAGGGATTGATTTGCCTGCTGCCTCGGTCTGAAGCTGGCGTGGAGAGAGAGAGAGGGAGGGAACTCGCCTATGCCAAAATTAATGAAATTTCGAAAATGAGCAAGAATCCTAGTCGACGCCAAACCCAAAAGAAAACATTGAAGTCCCCGTCGACCAGTCGAATCAACGACACCCTACACGTGCGCCCCTCGTCGTCTTCTTGCGTCGCACACACAAACTGTGCGGTGAGTTTAAAACGCCGCCACTATGTAGTTGCCGCCATGCTCGCCTGGTAAAAAAAAAGTAACCCGTTACATAACCCTCCTCCCCCCCCCCCACCGCCAAAGCGCCACCAGAAGAAGAGACAGTTCCCCCCTTGCACCCCTAACCCAAAAATGTTAGGGTATGCGCGTCAACAGTTGCGACAGAAAATTGAACACCGCAAGTTATCCTGTATGTATCCCTGGCGATTAGCGACATCCCTCGTGGGATTAAGAAAAGAAAAGAAAACCTTTCGGACCTCAGGCCATCAGCGGAATCCAGCCATACAGAACCTTGTTTTTCGTCACTCCCACCGTACCGAGGACGACGTTACACATGTTGGAGGGGCGTGGACACGATCACGAACTTTGCGTTCTTACTTGACACTTGCACGACTTTACGGATCGACCCGAGTATCTCCGCTCAATCCTTCCCCCCGGTGCGCTCCGATCTTTTTTTTTTTTTCTCTCAAGTGGAGCTACATGCCGTGTTTGATGGAAGCTCTTTTTCCACTCTTCCAAGCAGGAAGCTAGACGTTGTAGAACAACGCTAGAACGCTAGAACACCTCAAGGAAGATGCCAACCACGGAAAAACTTGATCGCCGCCTCCAGCGCAATCGAACGACCAAAAAGATTTGGAAACACGCATGTAGGCGGCTATTCTAGTAAACCCGTCACTGGGTCTGGGAGGATTGAGGTAGAACAGTTAATCCGGGTGTTTCAGGTCATACGCTGTCACTCGCGTCAGTTGTAAGGTTTGACGAGATGGGGGTAAGCATACATACAGCAGTTGTACATGTACACCGTCCACAAACCACCACAACCAACTCCGGCGATCAGTGAAAATACCGGTGCTTTATTACACAAGTGATTAGTTCGCATCTGCCGCTAGTAATTTGGAGACTTTTCGTTTACCGATTTTACCATTCAAGTATCAATCACCAAACGTCACTCGGACCCACAACTGCCCAGACGGATGTCAGAAAGCCGACGTAGGATAGTTTCTCTCCGCATCAGCCAAGGGAAAAATATCATTGAAACTTCCAGTATTAACTTTCCATGACGTATCCTCCAGGTTTTCTACCGTCTACTCCGGGGGGGAGAAACCTCCAGAGTGTGGCAAGTGGCGTAATTCTGCAAAAAGGTTTCCGTCATTTCCCTTCCGGTATACAGTAACTGCATTGCGTTGCGCAAGTCCCACCCAGCGACCAGGTTACAGCTCAGTCAGCAGGGTGGTCATTATCTTCCTATCACACGTAATGATCATCGACTTGGCCGTTGTTGATCTCGGATGGTTAAAAAAGAAATAGAGTTTTAGATGATCTTGAGATCTCACTGCTGCCAGAAAAAGGGCCAGAAAGCAGTCATGTGGCGGTTATCTTTGTTTTGTACTTCAAATTGGAGAAGGTTTAAATCAAGGGGTGCTGACGACTACACACATTCGTTTGGTTTGATATCACCTCCATTCACAAGCAAAGAGTGGTGGGGAAAAACCTGGTTGCAAAAAACTTCATGCTGCGCTGAAGCAAAGGGGCGCGCACCAAGGAAAACCTGTACTTCACGATGTCGAGAAGTGCTGCTGCGTGTATGCATGCTGTTGATCCTTCCTGCGGAATGCCGCTGCACGGTTCGTCACTCGTGCGGAGGAACAGCACGAAAACGGTTTTTTTTGCCCGTTTTGGAACAAAAACTTGGCGAAGATCGATCTTGGCAGATGGTTTCTCCTATCGGAAAAGCAGAAGTGTCGCAAGGAACCTTCCCTCCTGTTTCAAATGTATGTAAGCTTCTAGAGTAGCTCCACAAGCTCATCCCCTCAGGCAAAAAACACAGGATGGTCGATGTCGATACCCACGCGTCCTCGCCATCGCCAGGACAATGTCAATGATGGTTACGCGTCCTAGCCAAGGAGATATATCGCAGCTGGAGAGCACGATTCGAGGATCTGATAATGGCGAGATACATACTACTTTTTGCCGCCGCCGCCGTCCTTGCTGTTGTTGGCTATCTGCGACTCCCAAGACTGAGTTCCAAAAGCTACATGGCCAGTCCATTTCCTCATCAACAGGCCGAGGTGCGTGTGTTTTCCCCAGCGTTTAGAGTTGCTTGTGGGGGGCAGATACCCCGACCTGAGGAACTCGAAAGGGAATGTCGGACCTTGAGTTCTTTTTCGTTTTTGATCACCGGAGAGTTTCCAGGGACTCGTGTCAGCAGAGGCGAATAACCTATCCCCGGTTGGACCAGCAGCCTTCGGGTGTGTGCAGGAAAGGGGGGGGGGGGGGGGGTATGTTTAGGAAACATTATTTTTCTAAAAGCTTCGACCCCTCCCCCTCCCCCCTCCCGCCGA